AATCTAGCAGAATGATGCTCCCGCGGTAATACACGTTCCAGCCATGTATTCCAGCCCTAACCCTAACCTCAACCAGCATGTTAGATAGTGTTTTCCAAAGTGATTTAAGTAAAACAAACCCACACTTGTAGATTCATTCCAAACGGTTCTCATGTTTCCTCATTTTTCTGATCTTGTAATATAGGGACGTGATGGGTTCCCGGAAGTGTAATATACTGACAATTTATCACTTAGTGTATAATGCTACGCTTTGGGAGTGATGAACTAACAGGTTTCACCTTGCGCGTAAAGCCTAAATGGACAAGCTAAAAACTGCAGATGATAAAATCAGATAGGGGTTTAAAAATACACGAAATCCTCCGCCCTTTGATGCGTCATCAAACAGACAAGCAACAATCAGAAACAGGCTTATACTTTCCAAGCCATGATATCAGACATGACACTACTTGGAGGGATGATCCATTCCACCTCTTCATTTCAGAGTAAAAGTCACTATTAACATGCTGCTGTAGGAAAGCAAGAAAAATCCATCACCAAAGCAGAAGATTCCACTGTAGTGGAATATTTTCTTTATTGTTTTTTAACGAGATTTTGTGCTGCTGCAGAGGTTAATGAGCACAGCGTGTCTAACAGCACTAAGTGAAAGGGAGATTTAATTCTGCCATTTCTATTTTTACATTTAATTGGATTACCTATGTCTGAAGAAGAAATCACAACACTAAAATCCACAATTAGAAAGTGCTTCGCAGTCTGGATAAAAACAGATGAAAGAATAAAAGTACATATTTATACTTACAAACACACAGTCTTTCATTCATTCCTACATACACACTTATGTATACACATATGAGAAGAACAAAAGGCCAAAAATAATTAATGGCTTTATTTATGGCCTTTTGTTATGAGTATTGACTAGTTTTTTGTTAGCAGCCTAGCTGCTGTATTCTAGGCCAATGGTAGACGGGCTAAAGCAGACTGAGAAATGCATGTGAAAAGTGAGTTAGTTATAACTACAAACTACTATGTACTATGTACAAAAATTTCTTCATTACTGGTAGATTTTTAAGATATTTCGTAAATGAAAGAAACCAGACTGGATAAACTTTGAGTTGTGAAAATTTTGGTCGAAAATAGCAGATGATTTAATATTTTTAATTTAAAATTAAATGTGTGTGTTACACCATCCTTGTAAAGGTGGTGGTTATATGTTTAATTGCTTGGTTGAAATCCATAATTACTTTATAAATGTTACACTGACAGAAGTAATAAATAATAAATATTCTAATGAGTGTCAGACTATAGAGAACCCCTTTGGTTGCTGAATTATTTTCACACATTCAGTTTCGCCAAACAGACTGTGTAGATGGTGCAGCAATTCAGACAGCTTTGTGACCAATTCTTTTCATGAATGCGTCCCCTGTAATGCCCATTTGTTGTTGGTGTCTACGCTTAAACAACAATTTAGTACAATTAGAGGAATAAACTGATGCTTCTGCTCTGAAAAACACAACAGTTAGAAAATCTGCAGTAAACAAGTTGTGATATTTGTATGTTATTATATCTGATTAGCGCTGACTACACTGTAGTCCCTTTGCTTTACTTTGGTGCTATTTTAATGTGACACAGAAATGATATTCATGTGATGAGAGACACACATTAAGCAGCCAGTTTGTGATCTGAATGTGCACAAAGTGGGTCAGGAGAAACAAGTTCTTTCAGCTGTAGTGCATGCATTTTTGCGTGACTGGGTGGCCAGATAATGCAGGAATTATCATGGCATCTACAATGAGACAGACAAGGTCAGCGATGACTTGGTTTTACTTTTTGAAAACTTATGGACACAAAGTGTAGACACCTTACCTGCAAAGTGCATCCAAAGACTCCAATCATGAGCATAGCAATGCACAGATACTCTGTGAAAACATCCCACCATGGCTTCAGGACCCTATACTTCGAGCTGGGCTCTGTGCCGAGGGATCTGAATTCACCCACTGGGATCATCCTGGCTGCTGCTCCACACTGATGAAAGGAGACGAAAGGAAAGGAACGAGTGGATTTGAGCAATGAAGCTGGAACAGGCTTTCAATGCAGAGAAGTCTCCAGAGAAAATCTTGTCAAAGGTTTTAAAGTTACATGACACAAAGAACACACATGAGCTTTGGCTGTTTATTGACCTTGAATGAATGGACGCTCCTCCTGCGCTCAAAGGGGGATTCAAACAGGATGAACTAGTCTGACAACAAAGAGAGTCTCTCTCTCTCTGGAAAGAATGGAAACAATTTTGTGTCCTGAAGCCCACCTTAATAGATAAACAGAGAAAGAAGGACAGAAGCTCCACTGTTTTATAACAATACTACTGCATCAAGACGAGATAAATAGCCTGTTCATTTGTGATGTGAGCTGTGCGCATTTGTGCACACACAGGTAACCAAATACAAATCATTGCAGCAGACTTCTGTCTGGCTAATTTCTTCTTAACATCGCTGCTTGTGTTAAATTTGAGGTAAAAGTGGCGTTTCTTGCGGCGTTGTCTTCATTTAACAGCGCAGGTAATTCGTGAACTTCCAAAGCTACTTCCTAAATCAAACGAGTATAACCTCGAGAACTTATCTCCCATTAAGTTTCCACTGAAGTTTGAAATTATCTCAGAAGTTTCACCCAACAGAGTAAAACAGAAGCAAGCGTCAGCAAGATTAATTTTACATACCTGCGCGCACACAGGATCCTCTGGTGTCCGGTGGCAGTGGCCAGAGTTTTTTCATCACTTTCAGAGGCGCTCACCGGTGTGAAGCTCGCGAGAAACCACGCGGCACAAACAAGCGAGGCTTTCAAAATAAAACCACTGTCAGCGAGCATGTTCAACGCATGTGAGCGCTGACTTTACAGAGGCACACTTCAAGTAATCTATACGTAGTTAATGTGATTACTGCAATTAGTGTATATTTGCGCCCCTAGCAATAATTTAAAATGAGGCTTTATATGAAATTAACCCATAAGACTCCAGACCCATTTTTACTTTCAGGAAAACTAGGAGAGAGTGAATGCTAAAACTTGAACAGAAGATTTCTTCAATGTGTAGAAGGTGAGTTAATAGATCAAAGTGTATAAACGGACATTTCTTCACCTAACAATCAACAACCCATAAACCCATCAGAATGAAAGCACGTGGTCTGTTATCGTATGACTTTCAAATGATAAGAAGGCATGGTTATTAAATAATGCTCCTGGTCTCACGCAAGACAAAGCAGGAACAGCCTCCTTATTTTTCAGCCACACCTCGATTAGTGTTGCGTAACCTTGACATTTTTGTAAACTCATGCTGTGGTAATATTCGGGAGAAGAAGGGAAGAGAGGAAGTTACCGCAGTGACTTTCTTTCCGCCCAAACTGAATCACAAAGTTATCATCCTCCTGTGTTTGACGTGCATTTCTTATTACAATCTGACGTCGGGTGTTAAGCAGAAAAGTTTAGAGGCCTATTAACTGCTTAAATTTCCATCTGCAATATTTGAAAGATATTTTCTTCCAACGAGAAACTGATGACGCAACTGTATATCTTCAAAGATTCTTTTTTAAGTCTGTGTTTTTTAGGCCTGTGTTTGCCAAGTCTTAATACTCTTGTAAGCCCACACAATACTTCTCGGTAGTGTAAACAGTGGTCTACCTTATCCACCTGCTGGGTTTAGCCAGGAAATTAGATGTGTTGGGAGGTATCATGGGTGGTCGGTAAATGACATACCTGCTTTTGACTCACTGAAAAACACACTAGAAAGATCATAAAAATGAGACTTTGCACACTAGTATCTACACGCACACTTTATTAGGTGCATCTTGCTCATACTGGGCTGAAGCTCTTTTTGCCATGTCCTAATCCTTCATGGCATAGATTCAAAAACATTACTCAGGCATTTGGGTCCTTATTGATCACACCTTCACTGTCAGCTGCACGTCCATGATATGAATCTCCGGTTCCACCACATTCCAAAGATGCCTTATTAGATTGAGGTCTGGTGACTGCCGAGGCCATCAGAGAATTGCAAACTCATTGTCATTTTCAGGAAACTGGTTTGAGACTATTTAAGCTCAACATCCTACAGGTTATTCCACTAAAATCAGGATAATGTCGAAAATGGGTACACTTTGGTCATTAAGAGATGGACATGGTCAGAAAGAACGCATGGGTAGGATGTGGAGTTTAAATGATGCTCAGTTGGGGCTCAAAGTATACACTTCACCATCACGAGCAGCCTGAACATAAATAGAAAGCAGGATTGCTTGCTTACATGAGATTCTGACCCCACCACACAAATTTTGCAGCAGAAATTAAGAATCATCAGAGCAAGAGAGGAGAAATGATGTGGGTTTCTGCTCTTGTTCCCATCTGCTTCAACATTTCGCCTCTACTAAAGATACTCTTCTGCATATCTTGGTTGTAACAAGTGCTAAATTAGTTACTGCATCAACAAGTGTTTTTTCCTGCTAATTTGACATTTCCTCTTTTTTGCTGTATTCCGTGTAAACGCTAAAGGTGGTTGTGTTGGGGGATATCCCAGCACATCTGCAGTTTCTAAAAAAAACTCGCCTGGCCCCAACAGCCACACCACATTCAGAGTCACTTAGAATCATCTTGATGACATTCACTTTGAACTTCAATAGGCCACGCAGACCATGTGTTCATGCCCGAATGTAGTGGGACGCTGACACGTGATCGTATGATTAGATAGTTGCATTAATAAGTAGTTAATCAGATGTACCTATCAAAGTGGGCAGGGAGCATCCATCTTTAGCAAAAAGCGTAAATTGGTAACTTTATTTTAGGGTAAATGTAGAAATAAAATACAAGAAGATATGAAGGCGCATTAGCTCCCTCTAGTGGCCACTAGTGATTTGAAAACAGCACAAATGAACGTAACATCAAGAATAAAAAACAGGAAAAAAAACAAACAAAACACACACAACCGAGCAACTATCAGAACTAAAATTATTACATGACTACAGCAGTGCAATAAACACATTTTAATTAACAGTGCATTACTGTACAGGGTAGGTCTTGCTTGGGGGGAGAAATGTACAAAGCAGATGCTTTTAAATATTTTCATCTCTAATCCAAACACTGGACAGGGGGGGAAAGGTCCCTTTCAAGGTGAAGCGTCGGTTTCTCTTTTTTTGTTTTATTTTTTTTGCGTTTTTTTTAAACAAACATCCAAAATCTGCATTAACAGGCATTCCTAGTTTGTTACAATGCATGCTAGTTATTAAAACACTACACCAGAGTCCAATTTAATACAAAGCTGATGTCAGTTTAGAGGAAGAAGAAAAATCACAAAGGACCTGAACAAATAAATAAAAAAGTGAGCTCTGAATTCCTGTACAAGACTTTGTAGAATATCAATGTACAAAACATCACTTAAAAACATTTGTAGCTTAAACCGCGGTTACAAATACATTTTTTAAGCAAGTTTCCCCCCCCCCCCCCTTTTTTTTTTTTTTAATCATTAGTATACAATATTTGAACACGAATGCACAAACATGGTCATTTGTGTCTGAGGTCTCAAGGATGTGAAAATCCAAAAAAAATTGTTTACTGCGCGCGGGAGGGTCTCATTTCTGTCTGCAAATAGTGAGATGTTTCAATTCAGGCCGTTTAAATGCTACAGTATTGATTCCTCTAAACACAGCCTAAACTAATTTCTCCATTCTGTTGGCGCTTTGCACACCGATCCCACTGGACGACAATCGTGGAGCCCGAGAAGAAGCATCGCTCAGTATTTTACTAAAGTTTCACATTTTATGCAATCAGTTAAAGAACACATTTGTTACTATGCAGACTCTTGTATCAACACTTGAATTTGTCACAGTGGGCCTCATGCAAGAACCACTTGCTTAAAGCAGATCCTTTCTACCATAATCTGAGATGACAATTTATACAATTTGGCAGGTGCATGCACATTTTCCCCCACACCCGTACAGCTGCATAATGACTGCAGTTGAAGGAACAGAAACTCAGCTGCCAGTTTATGATTATACACACTTAACTAGATGTAATGCTCTATAATATGACATCCTGCAATAAATCCTACCTTCATGAAGGTTGTAATTTCTGATTAAGTGGTTCCATAAAAAGGTGGTGATTCTGTGGAAGTGTTATGCACCAAAGTGACAGGCGTTTATTATTTTGCCCCAGTAAGATCACTAAAAGGCAACAAAACAGTAGAAACCCACTGTGAAAGCTGGATTTACTGCAGGACTGCTAGTTTTAGCCGTGCCTACCAAAATAAACCTGCAGCAGAGCCTCAGGTAGTCATGTAAGAAAGGCCAAAGCATTTCTTCTTGGAATCTAATAGCACACGTCATGGTTGGTGTTGCAGGCGAGGGATCACACCAACACCAAATGCCTCGCACAGGCCGTTTGTTCTTGGATTTAAAACTGGAACCACCTTGCCAGCTTGCTTGAAAACCCTCTTTTATATCACAGGTATATTCTTGTGTGTGATCCAGTAATCCAAAATGTTCTTGAAAATATTTAAGGTGGAATAAGAGCTCTGGAGCTGCAGAATCTGTCTTCAGCTTAGATCAACAACAACCGATTTAAATATCTTCCGCGTGCCTTCACAGGCGTCATACAGGATGTCCACTTTAAATAAAAATAGATTATTTGCAAAAAAATGAGTTCTAAACAGATGGTGAGTTTAAACATGTACATTACTACTAAAAATAACAGCAAATAACTGTTATATACAATAAACAGGAGGGAAATAATGGTTCCTGTGCTATATCAAAAACCTGTTACTACACAGTTTTTTTGGACTGCTAGTACTGGATATATCCAACATCAGGAGCTTAAATTCTTCTTCTTTATTTATTTATGTATTCTTTTTTAATGTGCAGATTGTGATTTTGTAAAGAACTATTGGACTGAATTAAGATGGTCTGTATAAGCACGTCAAACAAGCTCTTGCATGAGGCCCACTGTACGATCTTCATCTTGTGGCTCTCTGGGTTAACACTAATTTCCACACAGTGACTCAGCCTGTGCCTTCCCACACAAGCACCTCAGGAGAATATACCGACATAGTGATAATGCCCACAGGCATTGTAATGGCACTTTGATTGCTGCACACACACACACACACGCACGCACACACACACGCACACGCTACGTTTTGTTTACATAATCGATCGCTTGAAGTATTTCCTTCACCTATCAGATTTAGTTTGCTCTTTAAATGCAATAAAGAGCCCCTGATGACTCATCGGGCCAGTAAAGTGACCTTTTTACTATGGAGCCCTTTACTTGAACTTTACAAATGATGATCTAGCTGAGGGCTTCAAATGCCACGTTGGAGCACAAAGCTAGACTGTCTGGATCTTATAACGATACTCAATTTAAAGGACCAGTTTTCACAGGTCAGTTTTGAGATGCGTGTCAGTGTGTGGATCGGGTCCTGCTCAGATCTTCGCGTGCATTTGCCGAAGGGTCCGCCTTGCCACTGGTTCTTCCACCGTCACATGCCTGACACTGCAATAAATCCTTTTGGCAGGGCTCCATGGTGACAGCCACTCCCACGCCGCTGCGGCCTGAAGTCATGTGGGTCACCTCTGACCAAGTGTCCTGCTCTGGGTCGTAACACTCCACACTGTCGAGGAAAGTGCTGCCATCGTAACCTCCTGTAAGCACAGCACAGATCTGAGCTATGGATAACAAACACTAAGTGGAGTGAGTAAATAGGAGTTAGTTATTGCTACTGTGACTCATAAAAACTTAAATATTTACATTTTATAGTCACAAAAACTGAACAAGTTACCCAAGGTTAATCATGCCTTGCAAAATACATCTAAACACTTAATGGTTACACTACAAAGAGTTTTAATACGCAGACACATTAAAAAGAAAGCACACCCTGTTTCTAATTTTGACTTCCTAGGTAAACACAACATCACATAACATATTACACACTCTGGCATTATTTATTTAACACAAACTGAAACGCAGAAGCAGTGTGTGAAAACCAAAAAAACTAAATAAAAACAAACAAACAAACAAACCTGCAAAGACGCAATTGAACAAACCACAAGACAACCGTCCATGGTGGTGAAGGCGTTATGATATGGGCATGTTTTACAGCCACAAGACCAAAGTACTGTTTACCAAAGTATTCTAGAGTCAAGTGTGAGGCCATCTGCCTGACAGCTGAAATTTGGCCAAAACGAGGTCATGCAACAGGCCAATGATCGCGAGAACAGTAGCAAAGCTACTAAAGAATGGCTGAAAAAGTAAACAATGAAGGTGTTGTAATATCCCAAAGTCCAAACCTCAACCTGAATGAAATGCTGTGGTGTGGTGCTCGTGACCTAAATGAGTACTGGCTCACACCCAATGATTGTAAATGTGGGAGGTGAACAAAATAATTGCATTGATATCGGTATAATAATTAAAACATATTTTGTAAATCAAATCGTTGCTTTTTTCTCAGCAGGCTTCTACGAGCTACATTACTCACCCAACACATAGATGCGTCCATGCAGCGCAGTGACTCCCAGAGCACTGCGTCTGTGCCTCATGGAGGCAGCAAAGCTCCACGTATCGGTTTCTACATCATAGCGCTCCACCGTGTTCAGCTGGTTGGTGCCATCGTATCCGCCCATCACAAAGATCTGATTGCCAAGTGCACACACGCCTAAAAGAAAAGGTCAACTGTTTCATTTATTCAAACTAAATGTGGGCAGACACATGTAAGCACATGCCAGAACTGGCTGAAGAAAAGAGTAACGTCTACGCTACGGTCACAGGTAGCTTTGTTTTGACTGCCATCATAAAAAAAAGAAAAAAAAAAGGAAAAGACAATTAAAACTCCAGGCCAACCATGTATTTAAGGACACACAAAGAAAGGCATACACACTCCCCACATAAGTGTTTTGTTTTTTTCTTTAATGCGTTTCTTGATTAAGAAAAATCATTGCCTCTGCCAATGAGGTTGTGTTTATTTTAACACTTGTGTGAGGGTTGTAAAATGTTACCAATCCATTCAAATTTGGCTTACATCCACCATGATCTTAAAAGGTCAACATAATGATTTATTTGCTTAAAAAAAGAAAAAGAAAAAAAAGAGGAGAAAAAAAGAAAAAGAAAAGAAAGAATCCTTATAACTTAGAAACTATGATCCTTACAAATAGGGCTGCACGATTAATCGTTAGAAAATCGCAATCTCAGTTTATACTTATGTGCGATCTTATTTCCAAATGACAACAATTTAAAAAAAAAAGAAAAAAAAAAGACGATGACTGTACCGCATTTTGATCCGGGACGTAATCTGCATGAAAACAAGCGCTCACTCTTCCTGCTCAACAAATGACAAGGGCGGAGCCTTATACCACGTGATACAGAAGCTGGCTGCTAAAATTGGCAGGGAAAAAACAACGGAGAGCACGTCAGGGATGACGAGAAAGTGACAGGAGAAAATCCGTCCCGGTCAACCACCCAAACATCAATAATGGGAACCTTATACAGCGCTTCCCTATACACGTCGAACTCCCGCAGGCACAAAGAAATTACGGAGGCTATTACTTATCACCTGACCAAAGATATGGCTCCCATCAACACTGTGCAAAACGAGGGATTTAGGAAAATGATCAACACCCTAGACAAACGAGTGCCGTCCCGCAACTATTTTTCTATTGTTGCACTACCTGCTCTATACACGCAGTGTCGAGGAACGGTGGAGATGGAATTTCAAGCAGTACAACATTTTGTGGCAACAACAAAATGTGAGACATTTGTTGTTTTTATGTTTATTTATTGTTTTTATGTTCAGTCTCAACTGTTACGAAGTTGATGTGCAGTTAATAAGCGCAATAAATATTTATACTGGAAAGGAAAATCGTGAGAGAATCGTGATCTCAATTCTAAGCAAAAAAAAGAAAAAAATCGTGATTCTCATTTTATGCAAAATCGTGCAGCCCTACTTACAAATGTGGTGTGTCAACATATATGAAGTACCAGCATAAAGATTTTAATTATCATGTCAAATTTGACCTCTTCAAGGTCAACACACAGATCTGGAGGTCATAGAGCTATTTAAAACATTTAATCATATAAGGTATGATCAATGGAGATTTTAAAGATAAAATTTTCTTTGGACTTCTGACCTATGTTTTTATTGTCAACATTTAATTTCTACTGCACTACAAACATTATTTTTTTTAAGCAAATTGAAAACTAACGAAATCCAAAAAAAAAAAATTAAAAATGAATGAATACAAAACACAATACTAATCCCTTAAAATTTAAATAGTGCCCAAATGGTGAGGTGCTTGGGTGGGGGGATTGTGCTCGGAGTGCTTCTTGTTTATTGACTCTGTGCAGAGACTGACAACATAGCAGATTTTGCCCACTGTAGCAAAGCCAAAATATCTCATGGACACCTTTATCCTATCACACACAGTTTAGAAGATGGATGCTGCCAGAGCAATGACACTCATTGGTTTGGGAAGTCCAGTTTCAAAACCTCAACCTGAGCATTTTTACCGTCTCCATCGGTATGTTTTGAAACCAGAAGTGAGGAGTTATCTCTGGATCTCTGTATGTTTGATTTAGTCTGAGCTGAAACTAGCGATTGAGCCCTAATAAGTCATGAGGAAAGTTCACTGAGATCACAGAAAAAAGTCGCTTAGGGCCATTTTCACTTAGATTTCTATTCAAATGGAAGTCTTTTTACAAACAGATACATGATTTACATGATATCGAAGTTTGACTGACCCACACAATCACTGAATTTCACACAGGTTTCAAGTAACAGCATTTGATTGTTAAAATATGAGAGTTTTTTGGTCACGGTTGACAGGACACGCTGTTCAAAACTGTGGACAGAGCGATAACCAGTGTTGACATGGTCAGACCTGTTACCAGTCGTTAACCCCAGATGCACGTTACAAAACACACCTTCTTCCTTTTATAACTTATCGCAGAAGTTAAAAAAGTAACACAAAACTAAGCTTACCAATTTGAGAAAAGGGGCCACAGTCACGCTTCTGTTTATTTTACACCAAAATATGGAAAGTAGTAACAATAAGAGTACTAATAAGCATCCATACATAAAGACTTCCTGCCAAAGTCTTGGGTCTGTTCTCTAGATATGAGTAATAACTGCTGAGGTAACTAGTTTCTTCCCAGAGTCCAGTTGGATTTCACATCTCAAAGCTTGCCAAAAGACGTCAATAAAATGCCTAGATATTTTGGCTTCACTTTTTCCATATACACTCTACTGCAAGATTATTATAGGTTCTGTCTAATTTCTCAATTGTTTTTTCTTTTTTTTTTGAGAAATGTTGCTTTTTACCTGAAATCTTTGTTTATTTGCTTTGCCTCACTATTAAGCTGCCCTTGCTGTCTGGTTTAAGTACTGCTTGGGTCTACCTAGCAAAAACAGGAAGGTCTGCAGGGGCAGGAAGTCTTGCAAATCTTTACAAATCACAGGTGGAAAACTGCACGGGCAGTTGTGTAAATTGATTGTTTTTCAGAAACGTTTTTCATCATTAGGAGGCAGCTTTACAATTCCTTCTTACCAGCTCCGGAGCGGACCGTGTTCATCGGAGCCATGGTCTTCCACTCATCCTTCTCAGGGTTGTAGCACTCACAGGAACTGAGCCGGTTGGCCCCGTCGAACCCCCCCACAGCGTAGAGCAGCCGGTTGATGACCGCCACACCCACACCGATACGTCGTGTTAACATCGGGGCTACCAGCTGCCACTGATCCTGTTCTGGATCATACCTGTGGAGAACCAACACAAACTAAGAAGGCTACATAGTTTGAAAAGAAAGTAATTATCGCTATATTTCCGAGCTTTAAATTCCCGTTTTCTTTTTGCCAACTAATAACATTAGTCAGTTTACTTATCGGGTTTCTAAATCGCAAATGTAACCAACTCTTGTAACTAATCATCCCAATGAATGAACCACTGCCAGGAGTCTGCTCCACAGATTCATTAGTTTCATTCCTCAGTATCTGTGGTTAGCCGTTGTGCTACAGTGCGTCATATGTGCTTTCGGATGTTACATGATTGTTCAGACTGGCTGGACATGTTCCTCTTTCACCGAGACTGTGGGCTACCTGCGTAAGATCTTCTATTTTAGGAACAAAGCCAACTTTTGGGTAAAGTTTCTGCCTTGAATTAAAATGTACGTAATCCCAGTTTTAAATGGGTAGCAGTGAAAAATCTGGGGCAGGTTTATGTCAAGGTTAGTCAGAGCAAGGCCAATACGGCACCTCGGATATTTCTCATGGGACTTGATGGGCTCTCCGCTTCCCTTTTTGTTATTATTTATTAAAATGTATGTTGTTAAGTCACTGTTCATACCCAACACCAGAAAGCACCTAAACAAAGCTGCCGTTTCACAGGTGTGGATTAAAAGCTGCATCCGGCAGGATTATCTCAAGATGTTAAGCAATCTGAGAAAGAATGAGTATTAGTTCTTCTTGATCTGGTCATATAACAATGTTCGTACAAGCATTTCGTGCCAAGCTTAGATTGAGAGAGAAACAAAAGGTGTCTTGTTTCTCTTTTCAATTGTCACTAAGTTTAATATTACAAAAATATTTCCCTGTAGACTCAAACACCCTCACAGCAGCTTTGTGTGATCTAAAAATAAATTGCAGGAAGTAAAATGTTTCCAGGAAGTTACCCGATTACTTCTCTTGACAGACACAACCATAAGCCTTTCATTAAAATGACCTGTGCTGACCACATACTGTAATTGTTACTTAACTATTCAACCAGTAAAAGACTGCTGGTTTTCTTTCTACATTCAAACACACATAATTGATAAAAGAACAAATTCAAAATAGGCAGAATTGGTCTGTGTAATAAAAGTAATACCATCTTCCATTATTAGCCAACTTGACTTACCTTTCTACACTATTATGATGAATGCACCCATGTGATCCACCAACTGCATATACCATGCCATCGATGACCCCGACTCCGATTCGGTTCCTGGGCACGCTCATGGGTGCACACGGCAGCCAGCAGTTGTTCATAGGATTGTAACAGTCTAAAGCGTTTGAGTCCATGTTACCATCAGGCGCGTTGTTTCTTCCACCAACAGCATAGAAAAGCCCACTGATCACACAGGCGGCCAGGCCGCTTCGGGGTACCTGCAGGTCGGCAAGCCTCAGCCAGGTTCCCGTGCAAGGGTTGTAAGCCTCCAGGTAGCTGAGCGACTGACGGAAATAACCCCCTGCTGTGTAGATGAGCTGCGGCACCTTGGGAGTTCTGCAAGAAATCACTTTGGTGGGTTTGTGGAGGGTGAGGTCCTGGAAGATCTGAGCCAGGTAGTCTTTACACTGTGGGTCCCAGTCCAGAGACTGAAGCTGGGTCTGCAGGAAGTTGGGGGTGAGGGAATGGCAGCGGACAGCCTGGAGTAAGGCTTGGACGTACGGTCGCCTGTTCTCCCGGTCATATCGCACCCAGGCCACGCATGCCTGGAAGACTTCGGACTCACAGCGCACGTTGAGCTCGTCGCGGCTGATCAGGTTGACCAGCTGGCAGTGGGACAAGTTGAAGAATTCCTCTTGGGTTGCTACCTGGAAAGCAGGAGTACAGATTTAAAGTAACTTTTTATGATACACGTGTTGTTAAAGAATAAAGTACCTGGTGTGAGTAATTACAACAACTGGAAAGATTTTTCAAACAACTGATTAATATTTCTGAGCTAAAAGTTTCCAGACAGCTAATGACAGCTGCATAAGTCCAAAATCCAGACATATATGACTGAATGGAATCTAGACCAGCAGCAAATTCTCATCTAATTTTCTTACCTAAAGTAACTGCTGGATCAATTAAACTGTGCACAGTCTGTTCCAAATACAAACAGATTTATTTTTAAATTATGGATCAATCATGTAATCTTTATCAGTTGGTTTTTGCTTATTTTGATCAATTATAACATAACGGTGAGGACAAAACAAACTCTTGCAACAAATAATCTCTTTCTAACAAAGGGAAACTGGTTTCCTACCCTGACAGCCACAATATATTTAAAAAGTCAAATCTCTGGTGAGCAGGCATGTATTGAATATTATACCATTTATAGGTTTAACCTCACAGACAGACATGTGACACGTCTTTGTCATAAGCTGGACCTACCCTTGATCTTATCTCCTTATGAGGGAGAAATATTAACTGTCCTTTCATTTCTTGTACTGTGTTGTATCATCATCTTTTGCAGTCAGTTATGCTTCAGCCACCAGTAAACCCACATAGATACTCACAAGTCATCGTGACTCATAGCTTGAATTCTCTTGGCCTTCTTGTGAAGAGAATTCAAGCTATGAGTCTGCCAGTGGACTCATAGCTTGAACCCACCAGAAGAAACCACAATGCAGCAAGTGAAACATTGTTTACTCAGACCTCAAAACACTTTACACACAGATTTCCTGCCCCAAAAACTTGAACAGATTTGTAGAATGTTTAATTCTTGATATCTAAGTTACAAAATCATTACTTAAGCGCCACAAATTAGGAAAAAACAATTACAAGGAGTGGCTCCAACTTCATGTGCAGCCCAACAATGCAGTTCAGTGATTCTAATGAAAATGCTTTCATTCGAGATGCTATTTAAGCCTTACCTGACTGAAGTTCATGTAGATGTATTCTCTGGCCTTCTGGTGGAGCTCTGTGCAACCGATCTGCTCTGCAAAGCTGGCAATGCCAATAGCGTTGCTGGGGTCAAGCTGCTGGACGAGGAAATCACAGCAGGCCTTGACCACGCTGTCTATCTGGTACATGACAGCACCATTCATCACATGGATGACACACTTCTCACCCACAGAGATGCTGGCTGTGTAGGCAAACTCTATCAGTCTGTCCATTACCTGAAATGGTGAAAAGACACAACGTAAGGGGTTGGACTGTGGGAGGTCAGTGCACAGATGAGAAAATTAGAGCGAGAGAAGCTGGAGAGAAAAATTATTTAATGCTATGCTAAATTCTGGAAGGAAGGAACCCAGATTAGCATCTCACAAGCTATCACGTCATAGATATTGTTTCGATCACACTCTATGTGAGCTCAGTAAACACCCAACGCAAGTAAAGGAAGTCAAGATAAAACTGTTTAGCCACTGTGCATACCTGTTTTACAGAGAGAGAGCTTACTTTTTAAAAAGGTGGAACTTCAGTCCTGAGTACCATAGAAAAATATTTATGCACTTTTACATAAGACTCATAATTACTTTGAACATATTATTTGCTCATGGAAAAAAAGATTAAAAAAAAAAAAGAAAAGAGAGAAATGCACTCAATCCATGGGTACACACATTTTCCGAATATAAATTACATGTATTGTAAAAATGTTTTAAGCACTTCAGATAAAGACATTAACAATCATAAAGTGTGATGTAGAAAATGTAAAATCCAAATATGCAGTCATATAGCAACAAGGAGGAGTCCTACAGAGCAACTAAAAAGGGCAGGCATCGTAGCAAACCCTCCAAGATGCTTGGAATAACCCATTTGGTTAATAATCAGTGTGATGTAAGGCTGATATTCATTTAGTTTTGACTTTTAATTGCACTTGTACAAAGATAAATGATAAAGAAAAACAGTGGATGGTGTTATCTATAAAGGTATGATCATCTGAGTATGGTTTTAAAGCAATTCTGACTTTCTGTTTCACTTTAAAGCAGTGCAGGATTTTTGTGGGAGTGGAGCCATTTTTTTCTAACAATGCTGGAAAAGCCCATTGTGGTATACAGCTTGGTTTTAAAGTTACAATTCCCATACATACTGGATTTTCCTTGTAATAATGTGAGGCCGGTTTATGCTGAAAGAGGAGTAACTCGATTCCCATTTAGTTATTCGGAAGTCAACAAATAAACACAATACTACAGCTACATTTAAATGAGTACAAATCAAACAAAACATTCAGGCAAGGATAAAACAGACTAACCTTGGGGTGAATTCCTTCGATGGGCACCAACTCCATACCGCACTCCTTCAGGCCGTTGGTGAACATGGCCCTGAAGACCGGGGACGAGGAGGCCAACACCACCTTGTGAGCCACAAAGTCCACCGCCTCCAGGTCCTTGTAGCGCACGCGTAGCGTGACGTCGCACAGCTGCCGCTCCAGCCGCAGCTCGTTCATGATGGCGAAGGCGGCTGACGTGTGGCTCTCGAGCGTGTAGCTGAAGACGCGGTGACCATTGCGCGTGGACGGAGTCACCAGCGCTTTGTATTCTGTCAAACACTCCGTCATTTCCTACCCTTTCTCCTCCTCTTTGGTCACCTTCTCAAGAACAGTGGACGGCGTTATGGGGCATCCTTGCACCACATGCAGGCATGGGTCGAAATAAAAGAATTTAATTTGAGGAATTTGGTAGACAGCCAAACAGAAAGCTCCAGGCCCTCCTGACTTTTCTATGAGTAAAAGAGTTATGTCTGGTTTATGAAAAACATGGGGATTTCCTTGCTATGTTCAGTACTTCAGTCCAGCCATTCGCCCCATTATGGCATTACTAGAGCATTGAATGCAAGGCTGCCACTCATGGCTGCATGTACTAATATATGCTGCAGTTCCAACATAATTAAAATGCCTTGAATTAAGGGTCCCTCTGGTTTTGTTTGAAGGTTAACTTTTCAGAGAAAAAGTTAGAGAATAGCAGGCAAAGTAAGAACTGCTCCAGACTCAGATCAGTTGTTTGTGTTGGCAACACAGTTGCTTTCCTTTCCACTTCTCTATTATTTCAGCAGAAACATATTAATCATACCCAGCAATATAAACGGTCAGTTTGCAGTACGTCTCTGTTATCTTGTCTTCCTCTGAGCCTTCTAATCAAATATATTTTGACTGCTCAAAAAGTCTTCAATCAAACAACTCAAGAGCTGTGCCAGATTCACAAACTGTGCAGATCAATCTTGCACAGTGATAAAAAAATAAAATAAAATCTATTGCTTTGTTACAAAAAGTAATAATCAAAGCTGTCTTCAAAAGAGCTATTCAGCGTCTGAGACTCTAGGTGAGGCAGTTGAGCCTTTAGGAATGAAGTGGTAGCGGTGTTTCGTTGTTTTCTCTGGAGAAGCCTTCCTTGAGGATGCCCACCTATTTGTTTGTTTACTTACTAAGAAGCAGTTGGTTCAGCTGACAGCTGGGGAGAGAAAGAGAGAGAGCATGTGTTTGTTTCATACTGATAAACTCTGCTTCTCTGCTCGGTCTACATACGTACATCAATGCCTTGCATAGCGAGTGATTCAGCACTATTCTTTACCTATGAACTCATACAACAAAACTTTATCAATGCAGTGACACATAATTCTCTGTCATTCTTCCTCATGCACTCCACTTACAGTCAAGGCTTTGTCTTTGTAACGATGACTATGCAGCTCATTAAAAAAAACAAAAAACAAAAACCATCTTCTGCTTTTATGAGTCCCAAACTCTAGTTCTCTCTATCAGTCGCCAATACTGATGCACAGATCCAGTTTTGTTTTGTACCCCAGTTCTGATACGACACGATTACCTCAACTCAACATACAATAATAAGGTATGTGTTGGTACTGGGTACCAATCCAGGAACAGTGTTTATTTAATACACTGTATTTGAGTAACGAAAAATACTTATCAGGCTTGATTTAAAACATTGCTTTACTAATTCTGTTTGCAATCCAAGACAATTTAAAAAACAAAGGGAGTACTACAATAGCTGTAAGGGCTTATCCCTCTTAAGTAGGGCAGATGCAAAGTCAGGCTACGTCCACACTAATGTGTTTTGAAAACGCAGCGTTTTCTCTCCGCTTTGACCTCCCATCCACACTGAGACGGCGTTTTCCTCAAGAAAAAAACGCAGCATTTTGAAAATGCTCTCGAAAACACATACATTTCAAAACGGAGCTGTCCCGTCGCAGTGTGGACACTCGAAAACGCAGACTTTCTAAAACGATGACGCATTTTAGTCATGTGATGCAGTCATGTGAGCAATTAAACAAAGATAGCCGAGTGCATTATACAGCGGTTGTTTTGATTGCTCTCAACTTTGACAGCCCTAAAAAAGATTAATATCAGTTTGTACATGCTCCGGATAGCTTTTCTTCAAATTCTTTAGTTCTCACTTGCTTTTGCGTGAAAATGACTGAAAATGCTAGTGTGGACGCCGTTTTCAAATCTATCCGGGCTAGTGTGGACGTAGCCTAATGCGTTTTCATTTGTCATGATAGTTTCTCCTTATCTGGCATCGCTTCACACACAGGTAGTGTGCACAGCTGATAAAAGACAGGGTGAAGTGAAACACGCAAAAGAAAAACTGTTGGTGAGGAACTCAAGTGCCTGGAATCCTACCTATTACTTTCAGTACTTTTAAAAGTAAAAAACGTCCACATAGAGAGGCTAACAATATAAGCAAAACAGCAAGTAAGTGTAAGTGAGTGTGTAAGCAGCAGCTAGGGAGTGCTGCTCATTTTGAAGGACAACGCCGTGACTTAAATTAGGCTTTAATTTAACAGGCCAGCATGAGTAAGTGTGCTCTTGCTCTGCCCTGTTGCCAATCCACTGGGGGTTTGAACAGAGGGAACAGTTTGTTCAAACCAACAGCAGAATCCAAGTACATCCATTGCAGCATCTTCCAGACATGTTTAAACCAAATTAGGCTAAGAAAACAAAACAATCTTTTAATCAGAGTCAAGAGGTACTTTTATCGGAGTAATCCAGGAGGAGGAGAGGGCTCTGGCTCTGCAGACTGGCTTACAAACAAATACTTCTACAGGTAATATGTGGGATCAGATCCACTACGTTGAACCCATTAAGTTGAAAATTTAATGCCTTCATTTTTATTCCAATCCCACTTCTTCTTTTCAGAATATGAACTGCCTGCAACATTGACGTACAATACAAGAAACATGTGGTTAATGTCTGTTTGGAGCCCTCTGATCAGGAAGAGTCTGAATTACTCAGCAACAATGCTGCTGTGAGGGTTCGGTTATATAACAAAGCACCCGTGAGTTGTGTATACACACCAACACAAACACACACGCACACTGATCGTTAAGTGAAGCATTGATAAAAGGACGCAAAACAAAAGGCCAGGTTCTATGACCTTGTAGCTTTCCAATCTGCAAATAGGTTACCGTGTTCTTTGCAATCATTAAAGATTAAGGGGGAAAAAAACCCAAACTCAGTTTGAGAGTTTTTCATCTTACCAACAAATGGGAACACGTCAGTGACCATGATGGAACTCGTCATGAGGAAGTCAGCCAGTGAAGCTCGCTGTAATATGAAACACACCGCGATTCACATTTACTGCTGTGCCTCCCCCCCTTCCAGGATTCTGGGTGAAATAGTTTCACAGGAGAACATATTGCTCAACTCGCCCACTTTCCACAGCAGACAGAAACGACTCACTGACAAACAAGCTCTCCAAGTCCCACACTATACCTGCTGCATTTCTCTGACATTTCATCAATAATAAAAACACGTTTTTGGGTATGATGAATGCGACAGGTATAACTGGGTCCAAGCCACTCTAAAGACAGTATCTGTTGTTGAATCAATCAATTGATGAATCAGCTGACAAACACTGCACGTATTATGATAACATTTATTGTTAAGACATTTTATAACCTACACATGTGGGAAATCCTGAAATTTCACATGCCATAAGCCAAATGACTCCTATCAAACATCTGGAGGGTTTTACTCCTCTAACATGAAAAAACTTGTTCATTACAGGTTCTAGAAGTGCAATTAAACTGTCACTCGACGGTGACACTAAACAAGGAAGTTTCAAGGAGTTGGCAGCAGTAAATCCTTACTAAAGGACGAACTCAAACAGAAACTGAAAATGTCCAGTATACATCTTTAAAAGACGAACGTGAACGATAAACCAGCGATTTATGCTGATGCTGCTAAAAATCTTCCACTGCAACCCTAATCTTGACAAGAAAGTTGGCTCATCAACAGCACAGTAATAAAGATGCACACTCACCCCTGACAGAGACCCCGCACGTCGGTTTGCGTGCCACCCTTCAGGCCTACGGGTCTTGGGTGTCTTACAACAACTGGAGGGACTCTACAAGTTTAACAGTTTGATCTGAGCTACACCTACAGCTGTGTCAGCGATTTTTATTTTATTTTGTGCTACAAAGCCAGCAAACGCAATCGAGCCAGAAGTGAAACAAACACAAGTACAGAGTCCAGCGCGTTTCTCGGGCATTTTGGCAACCAGCTCTCTTCGGTGACTCATCGTGAACTCTTCACCGAGCAAACAGTGGAACTGGATGTACCAAAACATGACCCAGAAGTGAAGCCAGTCCTTTACATAAACCCTGATGGACTTGGATTTCCGCGCCATTTACCTGACATGAAGAGCACACAAAAAGCCACCGTGTGTCCTCTACGAGGATCATTTCTGAGCTTGCGTTTGTAAAACAAAAATAATCCACAGACCTGGCATGCAAAGGTAGAGGAGAGCAAGAAAAATCGGCTGCAGGTTTCTGGTGGGTTTGCAACGACGGTGAACTCAGAAGGTCTCACGATGAAAGAGCCGTAATCCCCATCAAAACAACAAGTCAAACGTTTCGGAAACAGAGCTGACAGCAAAATAGGCTCCTAATAATAGACAGTAGAGTAACGGCTGTGAGCCGAGCTCGTAACAAACGTGCTAACAAAGCGGTATCAAAATATATTCTTGCTAACCCGCCCGCACAAAATCCAGATATGTCCAAACAACTGACATTAATCACTAATGGCTCCTTAAATTTGGAATAACAGAGAATTACCGTAGTCTAGAACAATTCCTCCATCGCGGTCTGCCGAGCCCCGAGCCACACAGAAAGGAGGGGAAAGCTGTAACTCAGCGTGACTAAGCATTGTACCGGCCTCATCTCGCCTTCACAATAAGAGCTCGCCACCAAAGCGTTGGCCCGCCTCTGTTTATTACTAATGGCAGACAAACGCTCCCCGTGGGAGGGGGCTTTTATTGAGAAGGAATTCTTAAAACGAAGGAAAAGCTGGGCCAATTTTTGGCAGGGAGCCAAAAACTGCAGCATTAACGTCAATCAAAATCTGTTATAAATACCATATAGAGGATAAAACTGCAAAACAGGTACTTATTTTAGCAACTTAAAAAGGGATCTCATTATGAGAAAATAACTAGAATAATGCAGTAACACTGCTTTAAAACTGTATGAGTAATTGTTGAAACCCCAGCAGGAAATTACTAAACTGGCATTGTTTAACGATCACTATGTTGCTCAGACATAATGGTGTGTGCTCTAGAGACATGGTTATAATGTTCCTGCAGTTCTGCTTTAAAACATGAATGACTCCTACATAGCACAGGAGCTTGGGAGGAATCTGTTTGCAGTGCTGACACACCACTAAGGTTTTTTTCCCCTCCTTCCAAAACACGTAATTCAGGTCACAGAATTTGATGTTCTGCCTAAAAGCCAAAAGGTGGCACCAAAAGCTAACTGTGAGACTGCAAGCATAAACATTCACTTTTGAGTTTACTCCCGTGGAACGAGCTGCCATAATATAACCAAGACATTTAAGCCCTGTTGCTCTGCAACCACAGTTCACCACTCATCACATCAAGCAGTCCATGATAACATTCCATCTATACACCTTAACGCTGAAAGGACTGGCAAATCCTAGATATGAAATGACAAGTCATGATTCATACACCACTTAGAGTTTCCCCCAAGACTCTGTTGTGTGTCTGCGTAAAGATCCAATCAGAGGAAAAAGCTGAAGTAAGCCTTGAGGCACCAAACTGCTCTTCTAGATGGATGCTTCCTATACACCGATAGTCCAAGTGTTGGTTAAGAGTGCACTCACACTTGGACTATCAGTTCCCCAGCTCTGTAATTTCCCAAATTCTGCTAGAGCAAGGAAAAGTACAGGTTTTTCATTTGTGCCTGTGGCATCAAGGGACTATCAAGGGTCTTAACTTATAACAGCTGAGTTTGTTGCAGCAGAATGGAAGCCAGAGTACAGGAAAGATTCTCTGACTTGTTGACCTCTGCCAGGAGGCACAGTTCTCATGGATAGAGCAAACATCTGGAGGAACACCTGCACTGTACAAATCATATCAGAGTTATTCTAGCACCATCAGGAAGGGCTTATGTCTATAGGCCACAGAAAGTAAAAATCACAAGAACATATCTGCTATCTATCACACTAGGCATGCTTTGCATTGTTGACATTTTTTAACAGTGGCCTGACAAAAAAAAACAACAACTGAAAAACAAGTGAAGAACTTAACAGCTTCTTTTAGCTTCATGCAAATCAACCAACAGTCTTTACCAGATTTGCATGTTAGCATTAAAAACCATGTCTTCATAACTGTAACTTTGGCAGTATTATAAGACAAATGTAGACATAAATGCAGGCACTAAACAGTTTTCTTGCTATAGGAGCTAAATTAGCTGGATACATAACAGCTGTGTAATTTTTCCTTATTTTAACTATAGTCGATGTGAAGGGCCAGTGAGAGTGAGGCGATAGTCATTCTTAATCACTGGTTGACAGGAAAACAAACAAACAAACAAAACAAAACCTTACTGTTCAGTGTTTATTAAAGGTTACATTGGGTGCACTATTACACTTGGTGTGCTGGGCGTTATTGACAGCTTATTTCTAACAGTGGTGTGACATTTAAAAAAACCCCTGAAAAACCACATACCAACTTCTTTTATTTATAAGTCACTGGTGGTCATGACTTCGAACAGTTGAGTCTGCTGCAGTAAAAATCAAGCTGGAGGACAGGAAAGATTCCCTGACTTGATGACCTCTGCCAGCAGGCACAGTGGATACAGCAAACCCCTGGAAGACGGGTTTATGGTTGACTGCAGAATGCCTTTAGGGCAAAGACAGTTAAAATCACATGAAAAAAATCTGCTGTCTGTCACACTAGACGTGCTTTGCATTATTGACTTTTTTTTTAACAGTGGCCTGACAAAACAACAACAACAACAACAACTGAAAAACCATTTAGCAGCTTCTTTTAGTTTTCTGCAAATCAATCAGTATCTTTCCATTGTAGCTTAACTGGATACATAACATGTAGAGAGATTACACGGCTGTTAACTATGACTGGCAATGTGGAGGCCAGATTAGTGTGAGGTGATAGTAACTCTTAACCACTGGTTAAGAAGTATTTATTTAAAAGAGGCATTGTGTGGAGGTTAAGCCATACTGAGACGGGCTAAAGTTGAAGTATATAGGTCAATGCCATTACCAGATGTGAAATGAGGGAGGCTGACTTCCTGCGATACTTCTTCGCTTAACCACAGCTACACTAACACAGTAATACACACTGATGCACTTAAGAATGCTGCAGGGTACTAACAGTGAAAATAAATTGAAAACCCATTGGAATGTTTTAGAGAAACACTTTATTTCTTTTATGAAAAGAAACACAAATTTTGCTAACGTTTTCTTGTTACAAAATATATATATAATTTACAATAGAGATATATAAAATATGCTCACAAATACATCAAGTTCACTACATACATTTTAGTACAAAAAACCCACAACCTCATTTAATCAATTAAAGTCTTGAATGACGTAAGAAAAAAAATCATTCAGTACCTTTAACTGAAATGTTCTGTTAACTTGATGAACGATGAAAGGAAGCACTGAAACAATTGCTCGGTAAATTTATACCAGATTAGAATGATCTGTAACTTACAAAGGCAGAAATATTTTAATCCATAAAAATTGTGATGCAGCTGAATGAACGTTTTCCTAAGGTTGTCTTCTTCACAAGCTGCAATGTAAAGCCTTGACATGATGCAACTGCAGCTGATTTGGTTTCAGTTGGAGTTAAGCTGTCAGCCAGTGGAAAGTAAACATTACTTGTAACATTATCTTTCAGTTAATCCCATGCTAAGTATGCTGACATTTTGTAAATGCAGCAGTTTTTACTGCAGATGTCAGGCTGACATTTCAAAAAAACTGGACACGACCCCAACAACTTTCCACGTCTACCGCAGATAGGTTAACCATCTGTCATTTCAAAACTGTCAGGGGGTTTTAATTCCGCACCTCCTCTCCCACATACTTTATTTGCATTCAGCATTCAGTAATTTCAAGAAGGGTGCCACCTCTTTCCTGTCAACTTAATTCCTTTGCATCACATACACAGATATGTGTAACCAAACATCTACGCGTGCAAATCTAGCACACGATCAGTCTTCGAACCAGCGAAATCCAGGTGTCTGCAGATTACACACTGTAACTGTTAGGAGTTTTAATTCTGACTTTAAGGCACTTAAGAAACTGCAAGAGGAGAAACGTTAGCCTCCATATTATTCCAGCAAGTACATAGTTTTCAGTCTTTCACTCTTTGAGTTTACAGAAGCATCCTTCTAAGCTTCACACAAAATACAGAAGCCCAGGAAAATAATTGAGTCCAAGGTTGCATATGTCAGTGCAAATTAATAAAGGAGACATATTGCTAGCATCATATACATAAAAACCATTGCGTGTTCACATTTGAAATACATCCTTTGCTCTCTGGTTTGGTATGCTTCATCAAAATGAAATTCGGTGATTCAGTTATATTGCCATAACTGCGCCACACTGTCAAAGGTGAGTCATCGTCTTTCATACGCCCCCCTTTCTTTGTCTCTTTGAAAAAAAAAACCACAGAACTGTTTCTCAATAGTGTATGTGCTACATATCCTCTATTGAGCGGGAAACCCATTTACACATTTTGGACACAGTCAGTCAAAGTCTTTATGACTTGAAAAGTTTGGGGTATAGGGCTTTAATTGTAGATGGAGTGGTGATGACATTTCCAGACGAAATGGTGGTCTCCAGACCCGGTTCTAACTTCTGGGAGGCCACCTCAGTTTTACTGAAACTGCACTCCAGGAATGGCATCCCAATCTTCTTCACCTGCCCATCCGACGTCATTAGACACGGCCGACAGAGGAGCCTCAGAATGGCCCTCCTCATGTCCTTACTGGTCAGTGTGTAGATGATGGGGTTGAGGAGCGAGTTGATAATAGCTACTCCCAGGAAGTACTCAGCCTTGTAGAGCACAGAGCATCCACGGATGGGGCAGGAAAAATCTATCAGGAGGAGAATGAAAAGGGGCAGCCAACAAGCGATGAAGACTCCCAAGACAATGGTGACTGTCTTGAGGAGAGCAATGTACTTCTCTGACTTCCTGGCTAAGCCCTTCCTTATGCTGCCTGACAAGCCGAGCCGCTGGCGCTGTGTGTTGGTGCGGACGATGCGGAAAACACGCACATAAAGCACCACGATGGCCAAGAGCACAGCGCTGAAAACAGACACACAGCACAGAATGTAGCTTTTGGCATAAAGCGGGAGCACTGTTGAACACTGGTCCAGTCTGCGGATGCAGTTCCATCCCAATATTGGGAGGATTCCCAAAAACCCTGCCACGGCCCAGCTCGCACCAATTAGTGCCAACATGCGTCCCCGCTTTGCCCCATGATACGGCCTCATGGTCACCATAGTGACATGGCGTTCAATCGCAATGGCTAGTAGACTAATTATAGAGGCAGCCAGAGTGATAAAGACCCCTCCCTCCCGGAGGAACCACATCACTGGTGTCAGTTTTAAAGTATTTTTTCCCGATAGGAGGATATTGACCATGTAGGCAATACCAGCCAGCAAGTCTGACAGAGTCAGGTTTCCCAGCAGGTAATACATGGGCAGGTGGAACTTTTTATTCCTCCAAATGGCAAGCAGAACCACAGTGTTCTCCAGGATGATGAGGACACACACCACCAGTAAGGCAATGCTTTCAGGTTTGAGCCTATCACGGTTGCTCAGCTTCTCAGTGTAGTTGTAATGCTTTTCAATGACAGATTTGTCCTGGTATTCACAGAAGAACTGCAGGTAGCATGAACATGAGGGAGTAGTGGAGGTGGGGGGTGAAGCTGAAGTCACTCTACTGGAAGAATTTAAAGCCTCCATGCCTGATGTTGCTTTTCTTCTATTCTGTGTGCACTCAGTAGCTACAAAGTCATCTTTGATGATATGCTTTCAGTAGTAGGAGCGGTGAAGAATTTATCAAATGGATACCCACTCTCACAGAAAATGCCAGAGCCCTTTCAATACATAGAGGGATTACATGCAGCATATACAGTGTAATCCTCCAGGATCCTCAGATGTTTTCTTTGCCCCTTTTTGCCAGCAGAGGGTGGTTTTGAGCTCTGCCTGGTTAGAGAGCTTAGACATGCACTGCAAAAAGACATGAGAATAGAGCATAAAAATGATGGCAAGATGAAATGCAGAATCAGTGAAATTGAAAATAACTGCTTAAAATTGTCACAGTTTTAAATGTACATATTAAAGTGGATATTTACTGGTTCCATAATCTGACATTTGGCCCAAAAAGATTGAGCGCATCAAATCTGATGAATCCAAAGAAACCAAAGTGTAGGCTGAACATATGAAATCTATTGCTGCATCGTCTGACAGATACATGTACAGGCAAGTATGAATGCATATTCAATTTCATTTAACTTAGGCTTGACCTCTTGTTATTCACTAAAACAGATGAGAGAAAGTAACTATTGCTGTTTGTGTGTGCTGGGCTGAATAAGATGCAGAGAGCAGAGGGGTAAATTTAATGTCAGACGGACATTTAGGTTTTGCAGCTGTGTATAAACTAAATGCCAGTTACTCTAAGGTTGTTAGACAAGAACCATCACACTGTGTGCGTTTGATTTGACACACATGCAGCTCATTTTCATTGTGTACATGACGTGTGTTTGAAGCTAACTTCACATATGCAAATCTACTTTAAACCCTCAAAGTTTAATACAGAAACAGCACGTCTGAAGTTTACGCCATTGGCCAATTCCAATATAAATACACTGATGGATTTAGCCATTAGGCTGGATACAGTCAGGGGTGATTAAGTTTACATTCTTTTCAGTCTCTTTTTGTGTGAAGGATTTTTCCCCCCTTTTTCTTGAGTCATGTGTTAACATTTAACAAATGTTCTGGAGGCTTGAACTCATTTAGCTCACTGGCAAGAATTTGGGAAATGAATGCAACATGAGCATAGTGTCTGTGTGTCGGCTCTCTCCATTGTACAGTCATGATTTACATAATGTAGAAAAGTATGAATGAAGATTATAAAAGCATACCAGGATTTCTGTGTCAAATGATGTCACTATGAGCATTTGTATGCGATAACTAAAGCACTTTTTTTCTTTCAAAGATTTCAAACTTCCTGGAAAAATGTTTTTTTTTCCCTGTATATCACTTAGAGAGAAATATCTATAAATGTTAGTTAAGATATTTTGGCATCCTTGCTTATCCCTGGTATGACAGTGATAAAAAATACAAAAAAAAAAAAAAAAGCAAGGTTAAGATGTTACAAATACATTTTTACGCAAATCAGGAAAATATAAAGCCTGTGTTCTAAACTGTATAAACAAGCCTTAACTTCAACTTCAACTAAAACAAAGTGTCTAAAGAAAAAATGGTAACAATATTGTCAAATTTTGAATCAGACATGGGAAACACAAAGAAAGAACGAAAGAAATTACCTGGGAAATGTTGTAGTATTACTTTTATCCTGCACTTCATTTGCTGTTCAGTCATCAGAATCCAGACAAGCACACCAAGTAAGTCACAGTCAAACTGACGAGGCAGAGGAGTGAAGTGCGACCTTAGCTGAAACATGCATCAGCTTCGGGGGTTGGTCTTAGCCTGAACTGTCTCTCCCCCTTACATTCCCTCTCTCTTCTTCTCTCTTGCTCACTCTTGCACATTTGCACAGATAGTGTGTGCGCGTGAACACATACAGAATACATACAGATGTGTGCCGCTTCAGATGAGCTGGTGCAGAGATCTTTATCACATTTCATTGTATTCTGTGAATCTCAATATACGACATCGGTAGTCGTGATTATAGTTCAAGGTTCATGTTGTGTTAGTGATGAACCAACAAATATAAACGGATGATATCAACTGAATTTTTCTTATTTCATCACAAAGCCTTGCCCTCTCATTAAATATAGAAAACATAATGACAACATAGGAAATGTTTCTGGGTCTCTGATTAAAATCTAAACTGCCCTCATTTCCCTTTAAGTGTTACCGCTATTATTACAGGTGCTGTTAAATAAAGGGAAAAAAATCCAAAACTAGGGAGAACACTGACTTAACACATACATAATCATAATTAGAATCATTTTTAAGTATTTATGTGTTCCCATGAATAACTGCTATGCTACAACTCTTCAGATACATTTCGTACACTGAAACTTTGCAACTACTTGGAAAAAAACTGGAAGAACCAGTTTTGAACACTGCAGCAACAGTCCCACTCTGGGCCAAGTGAAATAAGGACATCGAGCTTTTTTTTCTGTCAAGTTCCACAGAAATTCGATTTAGCCGTCTCATGTTATCTGTTCTAAAAACTCTACTTTTACAGTGAGGGAAGTGAAAGGAATCTAATTCACATGGTTCAAGCCCACAGTGACATCCCAGTTCTCAGAACCTGATTGTAGCATGCTTTGACACGCTTCAGCAGGTTACCTGTGAAACCTCCCCTGCAGGGCTTGCAGACCGTTTATCAGAGCTAAACAAAGCAGGGGAGAGGTAAGTGTGAAGCAATGCAAGTTAAACAAAACTTTTGTTGGTTTGTTGTGGGTTTCAAAGCTGACACTTGGAGTTGTGCAAATGCACACACTGCTCTGTAGAAGGAGAAACACTGAAAGTGATTGAATGCATGTGAAAAAGCTGTGTAACTCAAATAACTTTCTCTGCCCACAGGTTCTGACAGTTCAGATTCCTGCTCTTTATCCGTCTGTTCCTCTGATTCGTTACACCACTGTATTCAAACAGAGGCTACCTTCTACCGAACCTGTTTGGTGTGGCAAATATAACTGGTTTAGCTAAAGGATTTGCAAGCTTCTTTGTGTATATCTGTGTCAGCATGTGGGCAGTGCATAACACAACAATATGTGTTTGTGTACTGATAGCATTAAGGGTTGCCTCACCTGATAAAGGCCGTTAAATGTGACTGCTCACACGCTGACATGCATTAATGAACCAGTGGTCACTCAAATGCAGCCGTTAAAAAAGGGGGCAGCATACTCAGCAGTAGAAACATGACTTTATTCCAGGTATAGCATAAACTTCTTTCTTCTTCACAAAGATGACTGTGAGCTATCTGAGTTACTGCAAAATCAGCAGGTTTCCATTCCTCTGTTCCATCCAGTTAATGTTGATATTATTTCCAGTGTGTTTGCACCTTTTATCTATTTGTAGGGCAAGTAACACACAAAACTTTATCTGGTCTTAATGTTTTTATGCGTTGGTGTATAAGTTACATGCTTTACTCACACTTCCTGCTGTCTGCACCGCTGCATGTAGGGGGGGATTCCTATCAGGAGATCATTAAGGGTAATATCCTATGTGGGTGAAAACACATCAAAGAGAGGTGTGGGTGTAGGACACTTATGCTCATGTCTCATTTCGTTTTGAATGCTGACACACATATTTTTTGAGATCTTTTATTTTATATATGCTGCGGTTTTTAAACAACTGAAACATACACTGCATGCCTCTTCCTCTTGACATGTATTTTTGACATATATGTCTGGCCACACACACACACACACACACACACACACACACACACACACACACACACACACACACACACACACACACAACACACACACTTTCAGCTAAACCAGGTCTACTTGGGTGTGGATTTAATGTTGACTTATGTGACCACAAGGATCTGTAAAGGAGGTTTATTTCACTGGGCCGCAGCCAACCGGCTGATTTGATTCATCGAAGGAGTAATGGCTTCTCTAAGCTGTCTGCATGATGTTTCAGCTGTAGTGTTAATATTCTAAAATCCCTGATGTTTTGCAGCCTGTGTGGACAGACATCTCTGTCAAAAGTTAATGAACACTTGGAAAATCGAGGAAACAAGGACCACCTACAGTCTGAGAGCTAGGAAAATACTGTAACTCTTATGGCACCATAGTACATATTTCACTTTGTAAAGGTGAAATTTGGCCTACACATGAACCTAAGCCCTACTTCTTTGCAGTGCAATAAAACTTTAAAATATCCCAGACGTTATTTCACTGCTTCAGCTTTTGCTTGTCAGGCATTCAGAACGGCTGGGGTTTTGATTACCTAAGAGGAAAAGATATGAGCATGGCATACTGGGCTTTAGAGGACTATCTAAATGGTCTTTGCCTGCCAAGAAGCTAGGGTCTCTCTGAGGCTATCGCACAACTGACCCTCCTGCAATCTATCACCACTCAGGCCTCAGTCCTAATCGACTGATAAGTTTTTCAAATCAGGCAAACCAGATCAGGTCTGTAATCCTAGGAAAACATTCCTCATTAGTTGCTATTGTGCTCCTTTCTCTTTTATGTCCCTGCAATACTGATGTACACAGCAGCACTCTGTCTCTCTTCTTTCCCCATTTCCAGTTCAATATATTTTCCAATACACTTCCATACCCAGTCAAAAGATGCCCTCATTGCATGACATAAGACAGTTCAGCTTTCTCATCACTGCATTGTTTATTTGGATTTTCCAGCCAACTTGCTGTGGTTAAGGGGCCAGTGAAGGGTGAGGAAGATCTCTGCTCTTTTGAAGTGGCAGCAGGGCCCAGTTGCTTAAGAAGGAGGGATTTGTTGAGGAATGGGGGAGGCTGTGGGAAAGACAGTGCAAGCGATCTGGTCATCTTCTGACAGCAGCAGTGAGGAACAATGAGTCATCACAATTACGATCCTGTCTTGCAGGAAATGACCACCTAGTGCTCCAATTACAGTGATAACACCAGATAACATCTCAAAGACAAAAAGAATCCAGTGCAGATCCCTGCACGTGTTTGTGAATGCATGCAAGTAAACTTCTGTTTTCAGAAACAGACATCCAAACCAATCTGCAGGTTTTATACAGCAGTTTCCATCCTCGACTACAGGGGTGGTTCAGGTCACTGAGCGCTCTTTTGGTGATCCATTATTTTTTCTCTCGGCTTGGCTGTGTTTCAGTGCTGAAGTTTTGTTGGGTGAGTGTGGCTGCTTTCTGGTTGCATTCAGTCCAGCACCAGCCGACTACAGGCCTAATGAGATCCAGATTTGAGAGCTTTCCGGGTTTAGAGTGAGATACTGACACCCTTTTGGCTCCAAAGGGTTGCAACCATACCACTCAACCATCAAGATGCTTTGTTAATTCCTGCAATGCCAGAGTTAATGTTCAAACTGTGGTTTGTTTCCCGACATGGAAATGTTTCAGCCTTGTGTCAGTTAGACTTTGCATGATCACACTTTCACGCATTCATTCGCCCATGTCTTATTTGACGAAAATAAAATAAAAGGTTTTGTGGTAACTGTCAAACCCTCAGTTAAATTATAAACTTGGCTTATTCACAGTTTTTACTCATATATATATATATATTTATACATCGATCGATCGATCGATCAATAGATAGATATACATAAAACCTTAAACTTCAGGTGGCAATAATCATAAATTATGATTACAACATGTAATGTAAAAAAAGGTGCTCACCATGACAAAACCAGTCAAGTCATCCACCTCTGCAGTTTGACTAAGCACTGGGAGTGTGTTATCATCAGCTTTTGTTTGGGTTCACTGTCACTCCTCGGATCAGCTCTATTTCCCTTAAGCAGCTGTTCTCAGTGGAATAGTTTAGAAATCCCTTTGGACCATCTGCCCTGCATCAAAGCAGACATACTAAAGACCCTGTGTTCTATTTGTTTGCGTAGCTTTCTGGTATTATGTGTATTCAACCAAAGCGGAAACTACCGAGATACATTTGTGTGAAATCTTTTAACAAGCTCAGATTATGATAAGTGATAGAGACCAAAAAGAGGAAGAAAAGTGTAACAAACAAGTTAATACCTAAGATCATTGTACAATGTGATTTTTTTAAATGAAGATAAATAGCCAACATTTTCCAGTTGTTTCAAATATTTTTCACACTGCCTAAGTGGTAGTTACAATACAGCTATGTGTGTAGTTCCCATTAAATGCAACTATGACCTTAATGCTTATTTACTGTATAGTTCAAGTGACTCATGCTGTTTCTGTTATTGATTTGATTTCCATACAGACAATTCAGTAAACAAGGAGGCTAGAGGAGGACTATATCAGCTTTGAGAGCTTCTTGGATTCATTGCACACTTATGAAACTGAGGAGCTGCTGGACCTGCTCAAGATGCATGAAGGCATAGTCATAGTAGAGCATTTAGCTGATAAAAAAAACGGAAATTTCCCTTCAGAGTTGGTAGAGACTAAAGCAAAGTTGGAAAGATACTGAATTTTGGATTTACATACACTATGTGATAAAAAATTTAAATACTACAAATATTCAGTTTCCTGAAAAATGTGGAAATAAAGTACTGCTGTGTGCTAACTATATCAGCCTTTCTGGTCATCATTTAACACCTTGTATTTCACAGAAAGTTTTTAAAGTTCATACTGAATTTGCAAAATGTATCCTGACATATTGAAACTGCAGCGGAATTATCTTCCAAACATTTTTTTGAAACACGCTCAAACTCATCTTTCCAAACACACATGAATGCACACGAATTCTGCCCTCATGGATATCTCCAGAGACTTGATGGTAATCAGAGGAGATGGGCGGACAAAGAC